TATGTTGGTCAGAGAAATGTCTCAAAATAAGTGCTCACTGCAGTCGGTCTCAGACTAAATGAATTAATGAGGTAAACAAACAATGCCCAAATAGAAGGGAAAATCTCAATATACTCGATGTATTTGTGTGAATTCATGCACCTAATCTTTTAACTTGTCAACTTGTCATGAGAGAACTTGTTACGAAGGTTTTGATATTTCACAATATATTCTTGATTGTCATATGAATAATATTAGTTGAACAGATAAGAAGTTATTGGAAGCATAGTTTTATCTTTTGTATTGGTAAAAGAGAAGGTGAGTTTGTTTCAGAAACACGTAGACAATCTTTAAATTATGAAAATAATGTTAAGGCGATCTGTTGAACTTAATTTTTACTTGTTGCATATTCAATCCCAGTAGAAATTAAAACGTATTTTACTCATGTTATTATTGTTTTCTGACCATCAGAATTCTCCAAAGTCCAGGAAATGGCATTCCAGGGACTCTAGATTTAAACATTCATTTTTAGATAACAAACTTGCACCTGCGTCACTCGTATATATAGGGGCATGTGCATCAGTTGGTCGCATTTTTGCCCACCCCACCCCCCCCCAAAATGTTATGTACGTATGCCCCTTATGACTTATCAAGCAAATACAATTCCAATACATTCAGTCGTTTTTGCTTAAATGATATACAGTTGACAATAGAATACTCAGATTACATGTAAGAAATAAGCCACAATGTCTACACAGTAATCTATCCAACGATGTTGGCTCATCCATCCAAGCCTTCATAGATACAGAACTATTCACACCTAATAACTGTAGAGTTTCAGTTCTGTTTTGTTACAATTGTCAAGGGATTTGATTTGGGTAGACTAATCTGTTCAGGATTAATTCGATTCTGTTTCTCGAGCTTGGATAGTCTATGATTGGTACAACTTCCCTCTCTTTTCAATTTTGATATAGATGAGTTGATTAATTTGAATGATTTGCTCATATTTTTAGTTCATCAGATAGATTAATTGTTGTGTCACAAACACTGACGTCATCGGTTTTCAGGTTGCTTAACTCGCCGCAAATATTTTCATTAAAGGGGCCATTATGGGAGATTGGATAAAGAGTTGACAGTATTTGCTATATAATAGTCAAAAGATAGGTTGCCAGGCAACGAAACATACGCCCACAGCAGCTATATGTCACATATTTTTACTTTTTTCGGTAATGAAACATTTATAATACATTAAAATCTGATTAAGAGTAACAACTCATTAAGTAATTATCAGAAAACCATAAGAATTTGTTTGGTTTTTATAAAGTTCTGCCCCATGCTAACGTTTAGTATACAAAATTTTTAACATCATGGATTTAGCTGTTCAAGTCATAAAGATTCATTGAAAATCAATATACTTGTTCGTCTCAAGACCATAAACTCTGTGTATCAATCTGAAGTCAATCGCATGATAACTGTAGCCTCTAGAGCGTCACAAGATTTTCCAAAGTGATCATGGGCCATAACTTTGGCAGTAATTATCCGAAATCATGGAAAATCAATATGATTCTACCTCTCATGGCCTCAAACACTGTATAAATTTAAAGTCAATCGGATATTAACTTAACCTCTTAAGCGTTCACAAGACTTTTCAAAGTGATCAAGGGTTATAACTCTGGCAGTAATTATAGGAAATCACTGAAAATCAATAGGCTTCTTCGTCTCATGACCTTAAACATTGTGTATAAGTTTTAAGTCAATCAGATATTAACTTTGGCCTCTAGAGCATCCACAAGATTTTAGAAAGTGATCAAGGGTCATAACTCCATAGACGCACCATTGTGCATTTTATGAGACGCGATGAAAGACAATTAGTACAATCAAATAGGAAACAAACTGGCATATCTATATCAGAAGACATGACACAAGTCAATGTGAAACTACAATCAGCTGTACAAAAACACCCCCTTGTGAAATCAGCGTGGTTTTTCGAAATGGTAAGGTTCGAGCAGAGGGCCATAGTGGCAAAACTTGCCATGTTGAATTATACCCTGATGTAAATGATCAACTTATAAAGTATTTATCTAACTGAAGAAATCTTAAAAAACATGTGCAAAGCCAAATTCTGAATGTTGGTTCAAAGTATGGTCGTAATCTGTTAAATATACGAGAATAACCCGAATGTGTGTCTCAAAATTATACTACGCATGCAGATGTCTACCCCCACAGTCAATAAACTTAAAATCAAACTAACAGTTCAACTGCTGTGCACACTTCGATGTTCATAATTGGCTACCATATTTTTTGTCATCTACTCGCTTGTTTGAAGTACATGTAAAACCCATGGCAGCTATGATAGATGTGCAGATACTGTTATAATAATGCCTGTCGCTGTGTCCACAAACACTAAACTCTACAGACAATATGCAAATAGTGTAATGAAACGTGGATGACATGACATGTTTATAACCCAAAGATCTTGGTTCCCCTTGATATTTGCGCATATCGGATCGTAACTTCCTGAATTATGACACTTGATCCGATATTGATAAAACTTTAAATTGATGTTGATATCACTATGATTTAGTCCTTTCGTTAATTGCATATATCTGAACGTAACTTCCTGGATTATAGCCTCTGATTGTTCGAAAAATTATGTTTTTAGCTTGTGTTCCCTCTAGAGGTCACAATTTTTATCCGATTTAAAAAACGATTGTATATATTACCGTTACACCCTAATGATGGTTGAGTTTGATCACATGAAAATTGGACCAAAACTGCCTGTACGCAAATAGTGTAAATATATGGTAGATCAAGGTTGTGGACTCTCTAGAAATCACAATTTTGATCTGATTTTGGTGAAAATTGAAATATATCTTTATAACCCAAAGATCTTAGTTCCTTTTGATATTCGTGCATATTGGATTGTAACTTCCTGAATTATGGCCCATGATTGTACGAAAAATCACGTTTTTTGCTTTTGGTCCATCAAAATTTTTATCCCATTTCGATGAAACTTAAATTATATCTTTATATCCCAAATCTCAGTCCCTCTCAATATTCGCACATTTGAGACCATAGCTTCCTGGATTATGGGCCCTAATTGTACGAAGTATATTGTTTGGCAACTGCTGGTTCTCTTTTCTATTTCAGTTATCAACTGGCACATTTTGATTCCACCAAACATAAGAATCAAATCCTAGTTCCCATAAAACCAAGACCAAAACTTCAAAAGTATAACTACAATAGAAACGTATATACACCACAACCCATAACATCTTTTTTGACTTTTTTGACTATGAAAAATAAAACTCGAAATCCCATTAATTAAATAACAAGACCAAACAACCAAACGGACAACCTGAAAAGTAGCAAATCAATCCCCGCTACAATAATTTAACAGTATTCCTTGTCGCAAGACCAGATGACATGACCAACTTGAGATAACCAACTTGTGAAGTACAAATTGATTTACGATTACTTTCTTTAAAAAGCTTTCTATCTGATTTAAATTGTTAAACATATAATTATATACTATTCAAAAAAAGTAGGGGATATTTGATTTTGGGGGCATAATACTAAATTATGCAAATGACTACAAAAAAAGTCACTATAGAACCTAACAGAAGAAACATTTCCAGCTACATGTGACGCCCAAACGCACCAATAGCTACCGCATGGAATGCAGGTGATGCTTGGGATCATCATGGGGGTCCAACCCAAGATTTGCACGACTCTGACTTTGAATGTTACAGTCATTGTGGCATTGAATTCCAGGGTGGAAACATCAGTTTAATTGTTTTAGTGACCAGAAAACAAATTTTGATATGCGTCGGCTTACCCAAAATGAAAGGTTACGTGCCCTTGGCATGCTACAGATCGGCACAACACAGGCGGTTGTGGCGCGGACGATGAATGTTTCTCAGTCTGTCATAAGCAGGCTATGGTCCAGATACCGTGATACACAATCTGTACAGGACAGACCACGCTCAGGTCGACCAAGGGCGACAACTCAAGCCCAGGATCGATTTATCCGTACCTTGGCCTTGAGAAATCGTGTCATCACAGCAAATCAGATCAGCGCTCGTCTTCAAACAGACACTGGTGTGAGAGTGAGTGGCCAGACGATTCGGAATCGACTGCATAGGGGTCACCTTCGCGCCCGACGTCCTCGCGTGATCCCTTGTTTGAGAGATCATCACATTCAGGCAAGACGTCGTTGGTGTAGGGATCGTCAACACTGGGATAATCGACGCTGGAGCAATGTGATGTTTTCAGATGAGTCAAGGTTCACTGTTGATTTTTTGGACAGACGTAAGAGGGTGTGGCGTCGTCGAAACGAGCGCTTCCAAGACGTTAACGTCATCAGACATGATCGATTTGGGGGTGGTACTGTTATGGTGTGGGGAGGCATCACTGTTGCTGGAAGAACGGCTTTACATGTTGTTGCAGGGCGTGTTACAGGCCAGTACTACCGGGACAACATCTTGGCAGTCCATGTTGTGCAGTTCGCACGACGTCATGGCCGCCGTTTCATCTTCCAGGATGACAACGCAAGATGTCACAGGGCCAGGATCGTTACAGGTTACCTCCAACAACAGAACATCACCACATTACCTTGGCCAGCACTGAGTCCCGACCTCTCCCCCATCGAGCATGTCTGGGACATGCTTGGACAGAGGTTACGTCAACGTCAACAACGTCCTGCCAATGTCCAAGAACTGGCTGCTGCGTTGCAACAGGAATGGGACAATCTGGACCAAAATGACCTTAGACGTCTCATTAGGAGTATGCCACGTCGGATCAATGCTTGTTTGGCAAACAGAGGAGGATTTACCCGTTACTGACTTGGTTGTGATGCTGTGGTAACTTTGCTGTTTGACCCCGGGTATCATTTTACCCTTATAATGGTCAGTCTGTGCCTTACTTAGTCTAACGATCATTTGGAATAAATCGATGAATGTGAACTTCATTTCATTTTGTCATTTGTTTCTTCGTCAGTTTCATTAGGTGACTTTAATAACACTTAAAAATCAAATATCCCCTACTTTTTTTGAATAGTATATATACAATACATACAGAAAAAACATAAACCTGTTATTGCCAATCTAGAATTTCCCTATGCAACTTCCATTTCCCAGTCGAGTTCCCGGTACCATAAACTGCCGCTTGACATCCATCCAAATCACAGCTGGAAAAAAAGGTAAACTATGACAATTAAATTGTCCATATGAATAATATCGTTTAAAAAAAGGACGTAGTTGAAAATTTGCCCATCTGTACAACAGGATTAATATTTCAGTAAATCTGAAACGTTTTCAAAAACTACGAACGAACGTTTCCTAACTTCATGCTGTATTGTTTTGCGACTAGAAAATCTCAGCTTGCAGCTGAAGTATGATTTGTTCAAAGTAAACCGATACAGTAAATTCATCTAAGAACCACTATTCAACACTTAAAGTTACAATTTCATATTTTCTAAGAAAGTCAAAACATAATTATTTCTATGTCCTTTGCTCAATAGGTTGTCAACTCACTATTAAACGATCATAGGTGTCATTCTCACACTTTAAACTCATTTACACCGGAAATAATAACACAATTACCTCCCTTGTTTTCTATTCTCCACCATGGAGTAGTTATCTTCAAATGTTTGAATTTGAAGATGAAAATGATATTTTTGCCAATTTCTCAACTGGCAATAGTGAATTATATGATTAATAGAAATAAAATGGGGTTTAACGTCCTACTCCTATACTGGGCTAATGAAGACGGGCATACGCCATACAGTGTGCTATGTGGGAAATTGTGCCCGGGCAGCGGCACTATCGCCTACTCTTATATCGAATTCCAACTGCCAAGGGATCTTTTACGTGCATTCTAATGTATACACGGGACCTCGGTTTTTCGTCTCATCCGAAGGACTAGACAGCTGTCCTTGTCAGGCCCTCCGTTCTGATAAGGGGAAAACACGTCGGAAAATCCAAATGAACTTTCTCGGCCAATGCAGGGATCGAACACCCGACCTCCAGGCTAGCGAGCCAGCGTCTTAACCACCTAGCCACCGTGGCCCCTATAGAATTAATAGGATTATTCTTTAACAAGGTAGGACTGTTTATAGATACCATCTATTTTCAGGCTTTATTTTAATAGATTTTAAAAATATAACTCAAAAATATGAAATTGCAACTTTAAGATGACCAAGTGATACGTTGTTGAAATGTCACAGTTTTGAAGGCGTAAGTTCTATTTCCAGGAATGTCTCAACAGTCAATATGTATAATTTGATTCAATGGCCATCATATTATGTAATTAAGCATATCACATGGAGTTTAATTTGAATTACATGTATTTATAAATTTTAGGGATAATTTAGAAATAAGTAAAGTTTGGTATTAATACCTACCCTGTCTGTTCTCCTATACCAGTGGTAATCGTCATATTGATCATTCGGCGTCTTAACATTGTTGTGGTCCTGTAAAATATACCATTATATATCAACAGCCAAGGACAAACTTGTTGCCTACATGAACTAGAGAAGTTGTAATTAACAAGTATGTATATTTTTTTTAATGTTTTAAAATAAGGAAAACAGTGAATTATTCGAGACGTATAAATATATATTTGAACTCCAGATAAGAAGTGAAATGGAATGGTCTAACACAATCAGCTACCCTCATTCGTGAAATTCCTATGAATAACCACTACTATTTCGGTTCATCGTGTTACATTAAACGACATTTTATGTTCTAAATAAAACTCATAAATAATGTTTGAAATTTTGTATTACAGTAATAACACTTCCGACTTTGTTTTAGAAATACAGAAAATATTGATATTAATGCTTACCTCATCGATTGCATAACAATTGTCTGTACAATAATACCTCCATGTATAATATGCTGTGTGTCATGCTCATCCACAACTATCACCGTCTTCATACGTCCCTTACAAACATATCCCCACGATCCTGTAAATTAGTGAAGGATTATTAAGTATTGTACATCTAATCTCAGTTTATGTACTTTAACCGGCGCCGTCACTATTTTTTAAGAAAAAAATTATATTTATGTTTAGTTAGATCTTTCTGGACCCTTTATTTATTTTTTTCATCAAACTTACAATAAAAATCCTGTAAAATGCAATCAGTTTATGGACTAATAAAAAAGACAGCACGTTTTACATTTGTCTATTGTCATACCAAAAAATATTAAAATCTATAAAGTGGTGATGCATAACTCACCTGTATCCGTAAACTCTCTAGACCCCACTATCAACAATACATCTAAGTTTATCATAGAAACACGTTATACAAGATTATCTTTACTGGACTCTCATGAGAAATTTGCAATATACATTAAGGGCATTAAAAATCTAAGATAAACCAAATATCAGAATATATTAAATATAGCACCCCTTACTTAAGCAAATGCAGTGAAAAACATGCAAAAAAAAACAAACAAAAGAAGAACCCCAAAAAGAAAATATTAGTTGCCTAAAGGAGATGTGGGATTAGTTGATTGATGCCATATTAATATATCCCAATTTAATTACTCCCCATGTCTACAACTTTCAACCAAAAAAAACCTATTAATACATCATGGAAAACTTCACATGATATTTACAAAGGAATCTGGTGCACAAGCCAAGCTTATACACATCAACCAGCCAGAATATAAAGACAGACCCAGTATAAGATAAATAATAACGTGTGTGGACCTCTCTATGATACCATAAACTTCTTGTCTCCTTTAGTGCAATCTGAAAATAAAAAAAAAAACATGAATTAAATTAATGTTAACTCTTTTTTCCTAAACTCAAATCAATATGCGCATCGATTGACAAATTCATTGGTGTTGAAGGATTACACATACGAATATGTCCGTAACATTGGACTACCCCTGTCTCATAGGTCATATTAGTCCGATATAGGACGGAAACTATTCTATGTAGTTTGACGAAAATATTGTAATATGGTGAAGATCGTTTATTTAAAAGTAAAAGGTAGCTTACCCAAAGAAGAACTACCACGCCGCCATCGTCCGACCGATAACAGGAGATATGTCTGTAATATGTAATAGAAATATGAAAGTAAATAAACTGGTTAACTCTGCGTGAAAGACTTTAACCTTGGCCTATTCGACAATCTAAAATTTTATGATGCTATGCCAAAGAAATACAAACTTTCATTATTCATGTGAGGTGGGCTATAAATCAGAAAATTCTTCACATTTTGTCCCTTGATTTGTATACCTGGTGAACGCTGACACTTCCCCTTTAATAATGAACAATGCATATAGTTTGTAAACCTAGGCCGTCTCACACTATTCCTTTCCGGGTATTCAAATTCTACATTGAGAAACTGTTGCTTGATAAAAAAAAACCAGAGACAATTATGAGACTAACATACTGCGCATATGCTATTGGTAATACAATGAAGAATTCTGCGCCATTTTGTAGGTCCAGTTTAATGCAAATAAAACACGACACTATTTTAACGTCTACTCAACACGAACTAGGTAATTTCGGGACTAACATGTGGTATATTGTACGTAGGTGTCTTTAGCAATGGAAAAAAACGAAGGACATACCCTACTCCTGTCACGTAAAAATATTAATCGACTGTTTAAATGGAGGGTTTAAAGTCCTACTGTTCTGTCGACTTGTTAATAATATACCAGCCTATCTGAACGTACGTGTCTTTACCAATGGAAAGAAACCGAATGACTAAGAGAAAACCCACTCGGTTCGACATACCCTACTTCTGTCACGTACAAATATTGATCGACTGTTTAAATGGGGGTTTAAAGTTCTACTGTTCTATGGACTTGTTAATATACCAGCCTATCTGAATAAAATTTTAAAATGAAAATTAAAAGTTTACTAACCTGTTTGAGATGAGAGACGTATCCTATATTTGGCTAATGTGAATAGATGCTTTCACTTGGCCGCTCAATTTCAAATTGAAGGACGGTTGGGGGATGTTTGCTTTCTTAAGTTTGTATCTGAAAAGTACTCACCACGGTTACCAGGCGACTGGGTTGTTCGAATCGGCGTCTCTAGCTGTATGGAACGACAAATTTACAAATATTCATTTAATTGACGGGACCCATTGGCAGTGAATTGATTTTATGTTAGTTTGGCGTTCCATAATTCAGATCACCTGTAAAGAATCAGCTACCTATGTGTTCGCTATACAAGCCTGCACTGTGATTGGCTAATATTTCTGGTGGGTATTCGATTGATTACAAAACAAAGAAAAGAATGCGCATGTCTATTTTACATGGTTTAATGTATCATTCATGTCATAGAGAATAAATTAAATCCATCCCTGCCCATCCTTTATTGATCATTGAAAAATCATTCGATTCTTAATGATATTACACAAAACCATTGCAGAAATCTCCAACTATCGAAAGGTTTAATATATGGTGTACCCAGAGCCGGAAACCAAGTGAAAATTCTCAAGATATCCAAACCTTGGCCGTCGCCTATCAGAATAAGCATAAAATTCCAGACATGCCACTGAGTTCAGTGGAAGTACCCTAAGTTCGGGAATGCCCTTTGACTTCAGTACAGGGCTAACAGGGGTCATTCCAGTAGTAAGGCACATAAGACATGAGTCATTCACCATTCCAAAGTGGAAGGCATGGTCTTAACTACATGCACTGCTGGACTCTGTCAGGTCATTGACCAAGACCCACACAAGTACGCGCCGACGGCGCGTCACGAGCGTGCCAAAGGCGCGAAAACGTCCGAGGGGGGTCTGGGTGGCTTCTTCTCCCAGAAAAGGTTTGAAAATTGTCAACCGCAAACCCATTTTCCAAGCATTTCAGACCAAAGCAGAAGAAGGCAAATTTTTGATTTCCTGGTACAATTAGATAACAGAATGACCTAAGAGCACTATCATTAGATGAATTTGAGAATTCTAGTACACTTCTTTTTTTGTGTTGTTTGTCAGTCATTTTTTTCCTATTTTTTCTTTCTCCAGTCCTGTGTCCTGCCCACTCCTTCTTTCTTTCTTTTCTCCCCCCTCTCCTTTCTTTCTCTTTTTTCTTTTTTGTTTATAGGCTTAGGCCCACTTTTTTTTAATGAGCTTAGGCCCACCTGTCACGGACAGGTGGACAGGTGGCCCCAGTCCGGCACTGACTACACGTATACACTAAAATAGTAAATGCATTGCATACACAAGACGATGTTGTCTTTAATCGCTGACTTTTTATTACAAATATAAAAACCTAATTAAATTCTCGGATTATCCACTGCCTGCGTCTTTTTCCGTGATTTTTATCTCAGAAAGTGTTGTACGTCTAACTCTTCATAAAGTTTATCAACATGTACATCAAGGGCTCAATCACCGCGTGTAACCTCTGACGTCACGCGTGCAGATATTCCTAATCGTCGGACTGTCGATATGGGGAACCCTGACATTTTTGTCCTGTATACGCTTCATGAGTATTTTTCGGGGAATCCAGTATTTTTCTAGTAAGATTGGATACCTCTACTTTCCATATATACCAAAATTGTCATACTTTTATTGGAAATAACCACCTGATAAATACTTTTCTGGGAACCTATCTTTAAGTAAATAACAAAATCGCATAAATCTTATGTAATTTAATATTATTGTAAAGAAGTGATAAAGTATTATAGTTATCTTTTTGCCTTTAATCGAATCTGTGAAAAGACAGCGCCATTCTCTTCAGTTTCTTGTTAATACTAACATATACCGTAATTCAAGTTGTTATAAGGCTATACACTGAATTTTAGAATTTAAAATTCAGCTAATGACCAAAAAAGTTTCAAGAGAGTAAATTGGTTGTTAATTATAGTTTGCGAGTTGACCAAGTGACTTCAACAAATTATATTACATGTATTTGAGTACAGACTATAGCTCGTTCTTTGCAGGGACTAGGACCGAAGTTGAATGTTACCCACAACTAGCAACCTTCCTACTAACAAAATAAAAAATAAAAATGACCGGAACAGCCATAATAAAAACAGGAGAAATATATTAAAAACACCAAAAATTAGGATAAAATGTCCCGTCTATCAATACCCCAGATGAAGTATATGTGTGGACATCTTTACAAATTTAATATATTCCATTTAGTCGTTAGCAAGGATGATTTACACATGAGAGGAACAAAGTAAAATGAGATTTAAAGTCCACTGGACATAAACTAGGTCATTTTGGGACTAGCATAATATGGTGATGCATACTGTATCTATGGACATCATCACAAAGTTAATATATTCGTTAGCAAGGGTGATTTTGACTTAAGAGAGAGAAATGGAGTTTAAGGTCCACTCAACACAAACTAGGTCATTTTGGGACTAACATATGGTACAATTTCACTTCAATAATACACTTGTGGGAAAAGAGAATATCCATGAGGTTGAACAAACAACACCACACCATGTCACCGGCATGCTGTCACACCACTTAACTCAATGACAGACCTTAGGATCTAAAGTCTATGTGTTAGACCAGCGACAAGTTTCATGAATGTCCAATGCAATTTAAACAGAACAAATCGTCTTCTATAAATATGATATAATGAAAGGTGAAATATGATACACGATTCAGTGTAAGCATATTTTAGCTCTTGGGTAAAAGAAGTGTTTCTGAGGGATGTACTTGTAACAGGTTTTAAGGACGAGGGGATTGTAGATGATCCAGTGACAGTAAGTCGTAGTCACACAATCAGCAAGACGACCATACAACACCTTTTCTGCCAATGTTCCTTGTGCCAAATAGGTTATTTTGGTCAAACATATTTTAGGAATCAGACCAGCTTATTCCCATCTGTATTTAAGAGCCGATCATTGTATGGAAACATTTGGACGTTTTCATAGAGAGGCATTACAGATCGGGAGGCTATGATAATTTCATATTGAAATCCCTGAAGGAGAAGAGGTCAAAAACAGTACTACAAAATAAAACAGTACTCTGTGGTCCAAAAACCTTGAAGGAAGGTCAGAGAGCATTTACACTCGAACGTAGGAATCTAAGTAAGTGAGCACTTCTGCTCGAACGTAGGTATATGTAGGAGTTTGGCACATGCTGTCAACATTATCCTGGAGTGCCATAAATCCTGTTTTGATCTATGCCATGATTCAGAGATTTCAATACCAGACATTAAATGTACCTACATGAACACTTCTGAATGTTTCTTCTTATGGTTCTTCTTTACATGAGCAGGTGTACAAATTAAAAGATATCATGTTTATGATAGTCATGTCAGTCAAATTTATACGATGATCTGCTCATGAATACAGATCTTAATAACAGTGGTCTGATCCCTGCAAAATTACACACCACTTATGACCCTTCCCTATGGCTATCAAGCAAGCGTGAAAGTCAGATTTTGTCACAAAAATATTATGATTTTAAACAAAATGATCTATTTGACACGATTCACGTTGAAATTACGAAATATTACAAGTAATGGTGATGATCAGTAGTCATTTGAAGATAATCGTTGGTCATTGCTGAAAAGGTGCTGCTTAGGTTAAATTGTGCTAATATAAAAGCTTGCTATGCCAGTCCTTACATTTATGCACTTCCGTGCTACTAACTACTGAATACAGGTGAGAATAATCGTTGCCTGATCCTGCAAAATTATACACCAGTTAAGCCCCTTTCCTACGATGACCGCGAACGTCCGATTTTGTCACAAAAACTTCATGATTTTTAACCAAGATAGTATATTTGGCACAAGGAACGTTCAAGTAACAAAAAATAGTACTAATGTTCATAATCAACGGTCATTTGAACTCTTGAAAATAGTATTCGGTCATTAGTGAAAAGACGAATTTCGTGGAAAATACCGTTTTTACACATTTTCAGAATATTACAGCACTCTAGTGGGTTGCGTTCCGGTCAGTTTTTTTCTTTTGACATTTACTTTGAGAAATGCCCTTCACAACCACACCAAGCAATTCTATGTCAGACCTGCAAAGAAGCAGCTACATGCGTTTTAGGATAGCATAGTTTTAAACATATGTAAAATGACCACTTTATGATCACTCACAGAAAATTCCACATGATTCATTCATTCCCAAACGACTGCAGGATTTTAAGACGACTACTAGGCCTATCATACCTGACCAATATCAAAAATTTAGAGACACAACTTTTCGGGTAGGAGCGTTTTGAAATTAGGGTAACAAATTGGTCGAAATATGTCAACTTTTGCCCCAAAACAACAATTTCCAGTTATACCGGAAGTTGTCAGTTCAAAATTTTTTCACTCCATCATGTGACTTCTGTCGTCTAGGGGTCCCAATAGACCAAGTATGGTTGAAATTTGCTGACCCCCCGGGTTATCGTTTTTTTCAATTTCTGCATGGTGCTCTCGTGGTTAAAACCTGTCCTCTACATCGCGATGCACGTAAACATTCAATTTTTACCTTACCCCAAAACGTGATTTCAATACAGACATTATTAAAAGGCACTGACGATATTATTATTTCAAGTATTATCTTTGAACAAGTCCATAGATTTCTAGACATCTCCGGAAGGTTTAAATAAAAATGAATCCAGTAGCTAAATATATGAATATGGCAAACCTGAAATTGTAAATATGTACATAGGCCCCCCCCCCTTTTTTTGTTCATTTTATTCTTTTATTCTTATACTATTTAGATTGATTTTATCATAACATGGTTATATAGTCTTTTTGTATATATTTTCTGTCGTATAGGAAAGAGGTAATATAGGCCTAGGTAGGTTGCCAGGCAACGAAACATACGGCCACAGCATCTAAATCGTCCGGGCAGTCAACATGAGTTGTCGCATATTTTTACTTTAGTTGGTAATGAAACATTTATAATACACTAAAATCTGATTAAGAGTAACAATTAACTCATTAAGTAAATCATTAGAATTTGTTTGACCCATGCTAACATTTAGTATACAAAACATTTAATACCATGGATTTAGCTGTTCAAGTTACCAAAAATCATTGAAAATCAATATACTTGTTCGTCTCAAGACCTTAAACTCTGTGGATCAATCGAAACAATTTATATATATATATATATATATATATATATATATATATATATATATATATATATATTATGATAACTATGGTCTCTAAAGTATCCACACGATTTTTCAAAGTGATCAAGGGCCATCCACAAGATATTTCAAAGTGATCAAGGGCCATAACTCTTAGACATAATTAACAGAAATTGCTGAAATTCAGTAGGATTCTTCATTTCACTAAATTAAATAATGCATAAAAATTTCATACAGATCGGATGATAAGTTTTGTCATTAGAGCGTTCACATAGGGTCTTTAACAGTAGGAAGAGAGAAATGGGGTTTAACAGTACACTTGACACAAACTAGGTAATTTCGAGACAAACACATGGTTCAATTTTATTTCAATAATTCGCTTGCGCTTATGGATTTTTAGCAGTGGGAGGAAACCGGATGACCCGTAGAAAACCCATGAGGTTGGACAGGCAACCTACCCCTTGTCATACACAAGCGGGAAATCGATACCGCAGCAGTTGACTTAAATGACAGACCTTATGATCAAATGAGAATAACCAAAACCACGTTAGTCATGAACTGACCTGATCCGTGTGAGTGGACGTTAAAACCCCACTTCTCTCTTACATTAATTTTCGTTGATTAACCCGACATTTTTTCGTGCAATAGATGTAACAATGTCTTCATCAGAACAGCCATGAAATAGTGCAACAAATTGGGCAGAGGGGCATCTGAGGGGCCGATATAGAGATATGCCTAGTTCGGGTGGATTAAAATGGAACACTTTGCAGCTGGAAGGATCCAAGTTAAAACAACTCTCGTTCTTTACATTAAATGTGCTATACTCCAAAACTAAAACCTTGTTATCTGTGAAATTGTTATCTCAAATTAATAAGAATCATGTTTCTTCCATGATAATCGTCACTTCCCTGAACATTGATTTCACAAGCTTATTCTGCAGCTCAGTTTTTCATCTACCGCCTGCTTGTTCAACATTTCACAGCAAAATTACAAGGCTAGTGTTCCCCCACCCTATCAGATCCAAACCACAGTGATGGTGAAATATTTTATTTGTAAATGATTTTTAACTACATCTATCAGTATTTAATTAATTAACAAACAATACAATAATATAATCTCTTTTAACTGATAAATTATTAATTGGTCCATATTAAACAATATTTTAAAAGCTATGAAATGCGGTTGCTCCTAA